AAAAGACAGGCCTCTCACTCCATAAATCTATTAATTCTGCTTCTAACTCGTGCGTCCAAGTCAATAAAATTGGGCCCGCTATTTTGAAATCATGTGACGGCAGCTCTAATTTTGATTGGTCTGCGAGCGATTTTGTTGCGACTTCCGTCGTGGCTGCGCGCACGCTCACTCGACCAAAAATTCGTATACTTTACACATCTTGGGGAGGAAACCGGGGATACATGTAGTTGCGACAACTGCCCTTTCTAGTTAGCTGTGTTTTTGGGCTTGTTGGAGTTCATCTTGCTGTTGGATAACACTATATGTACCGAAATGCTGTAATTACAATGTACTGTAATGCACCAAAATTGTTGAAATGGCCGAACAACTCGTCCAAAAAAGTTGCATGTAACATTACCGATGATATCAGAAAAACAATACATACCCCCGACCCCGTAAGGGTCCATGACAATACCAATGTAACAACCGGGTGAATTTACCTTATGATTAGTTACCGTGTCCTGAGGAAGCCTTGCCTATAATGTAAAGAAAATTAAATCCAAGTTAACCCCTCCCCTCCCCCAGATACTTGATTCCACTATGAGTCCTTATTCTGCATCTTGCCCTCCTTCCACTCCAGGTCAGGTGGAAGCTTGCAGAGCGGCAGTCCCTGCTCGTCGAATATGGCGACGAGGTACTTTTGTCCCCTGAGGTACCTGAGGCAGCGGCCGAGGGTCAGGGGGGCAGGGGTTGAAGCCTTCTCCAATCTAGCCTTCATCTCGTCCCTCTACTCGCCTATCTTCTTCAACTCCCTGCTCACCTGAGCCATGGCCACACCTCTTGTCTCTGCTTACGGCGTTCCTGTGCTTCTTGTTCCAAGAGGCCGTCTTTGATAATATTGTACTCTCGGCGGGCATCTTCTTGTCGGCCTAGGGCCGCCGACATCCTGCAGACAGCGTCGGGGACTATGGCGTCATCGTGCCGGATGATATCGCACGCCAACCTCAGGGCAGCTGGTATCTTGCCTACGCCCTCTTTGGTAATGATCTTTCCGACCGTGGCGCGGACGTCTGCGTGGCTCACATTGGCGCCGGCTGGCTCCTGCTTGCTATCTCCTCTCATTGGTACAGTCGCACCTTTGGTTGGATGAGAATTGGCCGTAGTGGCTGCGGTGTACGGGTGGCTTCGGTGGGCTCTCCTATCTGCAGGGCGGTGCTCCCTGTACACCTCTCAGGTGCCGACCGACGAGAATTGTCTCCACGACCAAGGACCTAAAAGGCCGCCGGTCCTTTTCGTGGAGACCCAATCCAGGTAGTCGCTTCATTCTTGCCAGCCTCTCTTCTGCCCCACCACGCAACCGGAAACCGGGAGGCACATGGGCCAAGTCCCAGTCGATCTTGCCCTCGTCCTTGCGCTCAAGCCACTGGGTGGAGAGGTGCGGCTGGTCTTGTTTGGGCCACCGGTGAACAGTAGCTAATTGGCCACGGATACTGTTCAACCGGGCGCCTTAATTCTGGCGAGGAACCTTGCACCTCTCGCAGCGGTACCCCAGGTAGACTTTGATATGATGTTCTTCAAAGTGGCAGTGTAAGTACCGCCGTTCCTTACATGAGGTACCGCACCCCGGGAATTGGCACCGGTAGGGTATTTCGTACTCGCCCTCGAATGATGTGGGTGCCGCGGCGGTCTCGTTCTCTTTGCTCTCAGCTGCCTCCATGAAGCCATCGGACATGGGTGAGAGCAGCAAAGGCAGAAGGTTGAAGGCTTCCTCCTGCAGCACCGCCTCCGCCTCGCTCAGCTCTTTCAGCTCGTTCAGTTATGGCCTCTCGTCACCCTTCATCTCCGCCATGAGTATCTTCGCGGCGGCAGCAGCAGCAGCGGCAACCTCTTCCATGTAGAGGTCCGACATCATATCTGTAACAGAAACTGCCAGTGGGCATGCACGTTATCACACTCATTGCCTGTGGCACATATAGAGAGCCATTTAACATGCAACTCTAACTCATCGAACAGACGTATAGCCCCCCTTAGAATATTGTTCCCATCTTCGGTCTGTAGCTCGCGTACATTTTCGTTGTGCTGTCACGGGTCAGTGAATCGTCTCATTGTTCATTTGTTTCTTCTATTAAATTGTTCACTCAATTAATTAATTAATAAATAAAATTTTGCACAGTGAGAGAATTCAGCTGCTTTGGCGGAGGTCTGTGCTCTCCGAGTGTATCGGGGACTAACACTAGGTTAGCTAGATGGCTAAACCATAGCTAGTGCTAGTAGCCGTATTTTAGTAAATATATCGAGTTGTAAAATTATAAGTTATAAGTAGGAAGTGTAATATAGATGTATACTTACTGTCAGACATCAAATACGACATATCACTGACCGAATCGGCACAGATATCTGCCACTTCTTCTGCCGTCATTGAACGTCGAACATTGGCGCGAGCTGCTATGATTACAAATAGCGTCCGTGAACGGACTTTAGCCCAGAATTTTAAATCATTATCGGTCGGTGGCCGCCATCTTGTATTTCAAAATGGCCGCCATTCAAATCCATTATCTTTCATATTTCAGCTAATATTCAACATAGAACTATGATCTTGGTGTCTAAACCAACATTATCGGGGTCAAGAAACCCATTACAATCAAAATCATTATCAGTCGGTGGCGGCCATCTTGGATTTCAAAATGGCCGCCATTCAAATTCGTAACCATAACGTCATAACATAGATATGATGCCATTACATGCGAATTTCAAGGGAACGGCTATACCGACTGCTGGACACTTCACTCATTATATCGCTGACAATGGTGATCACAACATACGGACCTTGGACGGCCGAGGTACCTTCCATGGAATGGGCATAATTCTTGTTTCAACAAAAACATGTTGTACCAAGAATAAACTTGCCAGAGAGTGGTTTACCTAATGCAAAAATTGTGGTCAAGTACTACAGAGAAAATGCTATACAGATGTTCAGTTACTGTATAGAAAATTACCAATCATCAGTGCAATTGATGAGCGCCAGAAACTTGACACCTTGTGGGAAATATCTTGGCCATTGAGATCAAATCGGCTAGTTTGGTCGGGTATGATGCAGGCAGTTACAGATGGGGTTCATACTGGAAAGGCATCTATCCATTTCCTTGATAGATATGGACCTAACTGATTTGAGTTGCATCTTTTCCACTCTTCACTTTGTTGCTGAGGAGATTAAGCGACATGGAACTGTGCCTGTCATCACCTTTGATCAACCACTGTGGTGGAAGGCAAAGACCATCATAACAAGGGAGAATGAAGGAAGTGACCTCAAGAGGATAGAGCTGCATTTGTGCAGATTTCACTCCATCATGAGTTTCCTTGGCAGCATCGGACATGTGATGAAATCATCTGGGCTAACAGATGTGTTGGAGATCGTTTATGCGGAACATACAGTGAACCACGTGTTAACAAGAAAAGCATATGCACGAGCAATACGTGGCCATCTTCTGGTGGATGCTTCTCTCAACGCCCTTGTGCTCCAAAGAGCATATGACATCTCTTTTCCTGCTGATGAATCAGAGATCAACAAAATCCCTGACTTAAAGAAGGCTCTTGAGACGTTTGACAACACCCTTCTTGAAACTCTTGATGAGAAAACCACTGACCCTGCTGATGAGAGCTTAACACAAGTAGCTAAACAAATGGAGGCAGAAAAACACAAGATCAAGCAAAGTCCAACAGGCAAATTGTGGGTCCAATATATGAACATGGTTGATCTCCTGCGGTTATTACTCAAAGTCCTTCGCACAGGACACATCATGCTCTACCTAAGTACCCTCCAGAAGATGCTTCCATTCTATGCCGCAACTGGACACTCCAACTATGCGAAATCTGTGTACATATCTACATACAAGATATATTGGATCTCCAACACACAAAACCAGATTTATTCAACAAATATGATTCAGGACTATTGGTTGTCCGCAGGACTGATCGGTTCTGGGCAGTACTACCACCAGATCTAGTAATAGAGCCGTAGCTAATGCGATCATTGAAGACAACCGGTGGTCTTACGTGAGGCCGAGGCATGCATGAAGATCAGCGAACTCGCTGGCTCTTGGCAATGCCTGCTTGCGTTGAAATAAATGAAATGATGCAAGAATCAATACAGGAAATCAATACAGTACGAGTGAGCAACATAAAGACATGACACATGCCCGGAAAGCTAGAGACCAGAAAGATGCTGAGGCGATTCTGCAGTTTTTCAAGATCACAATCCATTTGGGAATAAGGAGGATCTTTACGAAATAGCCATAGGAGTAAGTGGAACAGAATCTGCCAATCCACATAAAGCAGAAGAAGTGGGGAAGAGTATAATAGATCAAATGGAAGGACAGGATGCATTTCAGTTTTCATTTCGGAAGAAAGACCAGGTGGAAACACTTGGTCAGAAGGTGTTGTCAATCAATGGAGAGAAGGTCTCAGTTGACCATCAACTCCTATTTCAGAGGTTGTTGATTATAGCCAACAACAATGACTGTAGTTTAACTTGAAGGAACATCCCCTCAATGTCTGCCATAACAGCGATTTCTTCCTTTCGAAACCGAAGCAAGACACCGAGTAAGCTGTTAGTGATGTCCGGCCCCTGTAACAGGACATCGTTGAGTGATACGCCTGCTTGCTTTGCCCCACAGTCAAAAACGACTCTTAGCTTACCAGGCTTCTTGGCGCTAAACACTGGGTGGTGGGGTATATGCCATACTCTGGGACCAGTTTTAAGTCCATCTGCCAACTCAACATACCCCCGATCGCGCATTTTCTTCATCGTCTCGACATACTTCTGCTTCAAGGTTTCGTCCCTTTCGAATCTTCTTTCTAATAATTCGAATCTTCTGACGGCTTGACCTTTATTCACTGGTAGGACAAAGCTTGCGTCCTTCCAGGGCAGCGGTATGGTGTACCGATCGTTCTTCAACTCAATGCCTTCGTTGACTATTTGGTTAAACCTTTTATCTTCAGTCGATAGGCCCAATTTTTCCGTAGAGCGACCCTCTGGAAAGTCTATCGCAGAGTTCTTGCGCATCATCTCCAGCAGTTGTTCGTGGCCTTCGACAGCTTTGACCTCCACACGGTTTGCAACATTGGTGGATGCAACGCCGGGCCTGACTATGCACCAAGGGGTCCAGGCCAAAATGGTCCGGCTAGCAAACGGAAGGCCTTCCCCTTCTGGACCAGTCACTGACTCGAGAGGGGTGTAGGCATCGGCCACAGCATTCCCCAGCATCAGGCCAATGTCTGCTTTAATGTGCTTTAAATGTACCCTACTCCTGAGGTGGGGCCATGCATCCACATCTTCTTGTCGCGGAATGTGGTCCTTCGTGACTGGAAGGTTGGTCTTGGTGTAGACATGAGGGAGCTTTATATCTCTACCACCATCTAAGCTGGTGATGGCAAGGTTGTTCCGGATGTTCGTGTCAAGGGTGTATGATTCAGAGGACATGGTTTCGATGATGATTTTAGCTTTTCTACCACCAATGCCTAGCCGCTGCTTCAATTGATCTGTACAGAAAGACACGCTAGAACCAGGGTCGAGGAAGGCGTATGTCTGAAGAGCTCTGCCATTCTTCAAGGACTTTACTACCACTGGCACTATAGCCATCACGCACGTTCCATCTTGGCCCCCACAGGCTGAGGAAACTTCCCGGGCTTGGGCTGGTTGGGCTATGTCCCTGGCACGGTGAGGTGCCGGTTCCGGCACCGCTAATCTAACTGGAGGGGTGTCTCGATGCAGTAAGGTGGGATGGCTTTTGCTGCATCTTGAACATGCGAGCCTCTGCCGGCAGGCCCTGGACCGGTGGCCCAATTTCATGCAACCAAAGCAAAGCCCCCATTTCTTGATCAATTCCACTCGCTGGTCGACTGTGGCATCCATGAACTTCGGACATTCCACCGACCTATGATCACGCTGGCATAACTGGCACGGATCTATCTGCTCGACGGTGGCAAGGATCTTCTTGGTTGCTCTTGGCGGAGCTGTATTAAGATACGATGGGGCAGGACGACTTGCAGCATGGCAGTCGAACGCTGGGATGTTGGCCTCTTCTGCACATCCTACTACGAAATCCGCGAAAGTCTCGAAGGAGGGAAAGCGGTTTTCCCTACTCTTGGCACGTATAATCACGGACCGCCACTTACTCTCCAAGTAGACTGGTAGTTTGCGGACAAGTTTGCAATTCTCTTGTGGATAGTCCAGGATGCCCAAGTCTGCGATTCTATGTTTCACCGCGCAGATCTCATCTAGGTAATGTGAAAATCTCCTAAGACTTATAGGGTCCCTGCCGTCAATCTTAGGCCAGTTTTCGAGCTTAGTGAGAAACGCTCGGCTGATAACCGAGTCTCCCCCATACCAATATGCCAACTTCTCCCTGGCGCATTCATAAGCCTCCTGATCTTGCAGTAGGAGGTAGCCACTGACCATTTCTAAGGGCTCGCCTTCGAGATACTGGCCGAGGAGATTGAGTTTCTCGGAGGAGCTGGTTGTTCTGGATGCTACCACGTTGTCGAATGTAGTTATCCATACTGGGTATTTCAGAGGATCTCCATTGAAACGATCAATCTGGACCGGTGGCAGCCTGAATGAGTTCACCAAGTCACGTAGTACAGATGCCTCAGATGTTGGAGGGTCCCTGGCTGGCATGGAGTTGAGGAACCGTTGCATATTAACATCAGGGTCTTCTTGGGGGATCTCGCTGAGCATTGGATTGTCCGCACCCGAGTCATCGTCTTCTTCCTCTTCTATTTCTATCATTACTTGAGCCTTCTTCTTCTCTTTATCGATCTTTAGTTGTTCTAATTTTATTTGCAATTCCCTTTCTTGGAATTCGAGGTCGACCATCCTTTGCTGCAATTCCACCCTTGATTGGTGGGATGACTGGTTCGACTTCGTTGCAGATTTCTTACTCTTGCTTGTTTTTACCGCAGAAAGGTTAGTCTCCCTTGTGATCTTCACGGCACAAGAATCGGCCTTGTTGGCGTTACTATAAACCATTCCCTTTGGAGGTGCTGGCAGACTTGCCGGCTTCTTGACGGTGGTTCCGGGTCCTGCAGCTATGTTCCTTTCCGACTCAGCCCTAGCCCTTTGGGAGGGACGGCTTAATGTTAACCCATTGCCTCGTTTGCCAGTGCAAGGGTTAGCCTTGTTTCCACTTCCGGATGGCAGATCATCACCAGCCTCTAACAAGTTTGACGCTCCAGGCAGACTAGCCGACCGCCTCTTGTAGACTGCGCCGGACCGTAATGCCATGTTGCGAAATCTTCGAGTATAATATAGGGTTACGGGAATGCAAGGGTGCGCCACCAACTGTATCTGTACACAACAGGATTATTTCTTCGTAAACTTTATTCTTTATTCTTTAATCCCACTTAGTTGTGTTGACGTCGATACTCTACAACAATAATTATAACCAAAATAGCAAACCTCAGCTCTACGATAAACATTTCACATTTTCAGGGATAAATAGAGCCAGACATTACAAATAGCATAATTTCGAAGCAATTATCGACCACGTTAACTACAAATAATATAACTTTTAGAACAATTATAAAGCGCGGGAACACGAATCAGGCGTCTGTGGAATGGTCATAAGAAACATCAAATTGCCTGTAGACTAACAATTGACAATCAACATAATCGACCTAGATAAACTCACCGAAGATTTGTGGCCTCTGTGACAAGCCGTACCCTACATAAACTTAGAAATGCATGGAGAAATGCAAACTTGAAAGGGGTGAAAGAATTACTCTGCCACCATGAACCATGAGTGACATCTTGAGAACAAAAGCCTGTCCTTTTCTTAGACACACAACACATAGCACCATCTTTGAACACAAATTATAGTAACGTAATATTGACACATCACGCCATCTATGAACACAAATTACCGTAACGTAATAATAATGACGAAAGAATGGTCGGGAGGTACCGGGCCGAACCTGGCAGAGCATGAAAAGCCGATATTTGCGCAACATACTGGGAAAGCTGTAGGGTAGGTCCCGGTATGCGCTGTTAATGGGAGTGGCGTGGAGACAGGCTAAATAGTCTTATGTCTGGCGCAGGGTGCAGGCTATGTGGTGTACGTAGTACAGCCAGGTTTATAAAGCCGCACAATCGATGGCAGTTCATTGATTGGAGACGGAGGGAAATTGTTTCGGTAGGAACTAGTTTATATGTGAAGTGTCGCGCATGCATCAGTATGTTGTAATTTATCGTATGTTGTAGGTATAAATTATTGTAATTAAATTCTATTAGGGACGAGGGTTTGTGAAAGGGTACAGTTTATATTTTGATTTACCTATCCAAAGAGTGCATGTTCTAGCAGAGTTATTAGACAGCTGGTGGCTTTCATGAGTATTGTGCGTATATTCAGTATTTAGTATATTGTAATTCATCCTGTCGTATAGTCTTTATATTGTACCGTTTAACAGAGTTTGTACAGCCTTGGTCTCCTAAAATTCAAGGACTTTTCAAGGACTTTCCATGAAAATTAGTGCACTTGCTAAAAAAAATCTTCAAATTGGTGTAGAAATCAGTTTTTTTTTTTTTTCAAAATGTTTCCCAAATTTTGGGTTGGACTCATATTTGAGTCCACAGGCATTTGAGGATGATATCCGTAAAACATATCCAATATATAAAATACAATTTTTCTGTAGAATAACACTATATTCCTCAGTTACATGTCACATGTAAGGCACAGTACACTATTGTGATAATACAAGAAACAATTCCTGTCCTTTGTGAGACAAAGGTGTGCATCACACTTTATGCATTTGATCGACGTGTAATAAGAGTGTGCCCTTGGGCATAATTGGCACCTTTGTCTCACATCGGAGTACACTGTGAAGTAGTTGACTTCATCCTTCTGTACATCATGAGCAACAGGGGCAAATGTTGACCTACGTGGTGGGGGTGGAGGTACTCCAGCCTGCTGCTCGAGGGATGGCCGGCCACTTTTGCGTTCCTTGCCTTTACCGGCAGAGGTAAGTGCCTGGGCACACAATGCCTGGAACTTGCGTAGTTTCATCACACGTCTCGGATCTGTGCCCACAACAGCATGGTTTCTTCTGAATAGAAACCATGCGTTAATCAATGCCATGGTTACAGAATGCCAAAATCTGTACAAGCAGCAATGACGTGACCGAATGTTGTACTTGAACGCGAGGGCGTTGGCTTGAGTTTAAGTGATGGCTTGATGTTTAGGAGTTTTGATTTTTAGATTTTTAGGATTTTTGAGTTTTATAGTGAGGAAACTTGAATTGTGATTGAATTGCCCATTTGCAATCCCCATCTCAAGATCTGATAATATCAAAACACACATGAGAAATCATATAGGAGATAATTCTCTGGCGAGAACGTGACGGCGTTGGCATTGCTAGTAGTTCAGTCAATATATGAAAATTATTGGCCTACCTGGAACAAATGGCAACAGTAGGTTTTATTGTTGGAAGTTGTTGATTAGACCCTCCTAAACTTCATATGCAAAATCGGCCAAAATCGGACCACGGGAAACTGGCTAATTAGCATAAATCCAAAATGGCCGCCATTTTCAAATTTGAGACTAGTTTGTCCTAGATAGTACAGTCCTATATTGATTTCGATTGCAATGGGTTCCTTGACCCCGATAATGTTGGTTTAGACACCAAGATCATGTTTCTATGTTGATTATTAGCTGAAATATG